CATTTATCAATAAAGTTGTTTGCGTTTAACTTTTTTGCCTTGGGTAACGAGTTACAGAGTCGGTTAAAGTGTTTCAATAATTATGATCTTCAAACATCCTCCACACTTAAATACTTTTGTTTTGTTTTCCTTTACTGCCATCTGGCATATGTCTCTAACTAAATCATAAAAATAATATGTTTACTATAATTATGCCAATTTAGGATAAAACGCGACTTAGACGCCATATTATTATAGTTTTGTATTTCTGTGAATTAGGATTTTAAACAACGTTGCAGTTTGTACTAAATTAGGCTGCTAGCCAACGTCGGTATCCAACGTCGTTTCGACCCAAAAATTATTCTACAAACTAGTGCAGATTAGGGTTGGCACGAGGTTGTGCCGACATTGCGCCCCGACGTTTGGTCGCGTGACACAACGTTGTCCCGACGTCCAAATGCTGCTTGGGTAAATTGTGTCTAATGAACATATTTTTATTCCAAAAGTACGTAGTAGTTCTATGTCTACGGAATATTGGGACACCCTGTATATACAGTATACAGCGTGCATTATTTTGCAATCACTATATTATTTAGTTTACAATGAAATAAATTTAAGTTTCTTGTATTTATTTTCTTTTGAATGCGACCTTTGTCTATTTTTTATATCACTGTGTAGTGTATAGTAGGTATATATATATTCTACATTTATTTCTTATTTCTCATAAAATAGCACAATGCAAGATGTGACAGAAGACATCAATAATTGACAAACAAATTATTATGGACCACCATTGCAGTTATTATCTAAAAAGTCAACATATTTTGAGAGTTTACACAATTTTCAAAACTTTTTAACTTTCTGTTAAGAAATGGTGCTTACAACTATACAGGGTGTCTCCTAAATAAGTATTATAAGGAGTAGTAAATCTTAAAAAACTTAAAAAAAATTAAGCGCGTGTTAAAAAATAAGTACAGTGTATTACTCTAGAATTACTATATACAGTATGTCCCCGGATTGTCTATACAAGAGGAAAAACTTTTTTATTATAGATATTTTCAGAAAAATGCGCTTCTTCATAAAACATTTTGCTTGTTCTAAAATGATTAATCCCGTTTATATTTTCCAAAATTTCCACACCGTTTTAGAGAAAATTAAAAAAATATATAAAAATCTAGTTGAATTTTTTAAGTTTTAAAAATAAAAACGCGTTTCTATGGTAATATAATTTCGTTTTCATTCATTGATAGATTGTTATTGATAGAATTTTAATTAACGTCATATTTTTTGCTGTTTTAAAATGTTAAAGAAACAAAATTTATATAGTTCAATGCTACGGGAAGGGTATTAATAGTATTAGAAAATGTGATACTTTTAACAACAGCAAAATATGATGTTAATCAGAATTAATAATAACAATCGATTAAAGAATGAAATCGAAATTATATTACCATAGAGACGCGTTTTGATTTTTAGGACTTCCTAAAAGGAAAAATTCAGCCATATTTTCATACTTTCTTAATTTTCACAAAACGGTATGGAAATTTGGAAAAATATAAACGGAATTCACCATTTTAGAACAAGCAAATTTTTTTATGAAGAATGCATTTTTCAGAAAATGTCAAGAATAAAAAAGTTTTTTCTCTTGTTAAGCCAATCCGGGGACATACTGTAGTTTAGTGGCTAACGGCCTCTCCTATTGCGACTTTTTCAGATCTAGTGTGATCCTCTTCTGATTTCTAAGTTATATTCTCCAGTTCTATCCTTTTCGCAAGTTTCAAGTTTTCGCAAGTTTCGTAAGTTTTGGAGATTCAACCCGTATAGCCTTTGTTAATGGCCTATCACTGTCTAGTACAAAGAACCTCACATTTTCCAGACATGTGTTCTGTCGTTTCTTCTTCGGATTGGCAAAATTTGCACATGCTTCATCCATCAACATAATTAAAATTAATTTTTGTGATCTATTGTGTAGAAAATTAAAATTACTATGGACTTATGCAAGGCTCCCACCAAGCAAAAAACCTCACATTACATTTGCAACATTGCAGTCAATCCCCAAACAGTTTGCTTTGTAATGTTGATTTCTAAACGTTGTGTCGTGATTGATGAAACCTTGCTACAGAAGCATTGTTTTTGAATGGTGATTGCAGAAAACGTTTTTTCTGCAACATTGCAACAAAGATTCAAATGAAAGATCCGCGCAAGTTAATATTAATTAATAATATAACAAATATACCATAGAGGATCGAAAAAAAACGGCGTCTAGTTGGCTTGGAAATGAATATCGATGACATTCCTCATATAAAATGATACCGATTTTCTTTTCATAGCCATCGCTGACGTTTTTTTATCAATCATACGGTATAAGAAGTTAGGTTAGTTAACGCACTTGTTTTTTTTTACGTTTTTGGTATCACATTTTATGCTGTTCGAATGAGATTTTAATGAATCTAAATGTAAGTATAATTTTATTATATGTTTGTTTTAATAGTACTTAGCCATGAATAAGTATAAAATTTTTTTGTTTAGTTTAGTTTGTTTTTAAGCTAAATTTTATGTTTTAAGTTAGCTTTTACCCAACTGAAAATTGAAGTAGATAAAATCAGGATACGAGTATATCTAATGATAAAATTACAAATAATATTCAGTATTAATTATTCTCAATAATATTTTTTTAGTGATGTTATAATCATTTGAAATTTTTAAAATAAGGACATAAAGGGGCCTCGAAGATTACTGTCACAAGAGGTAAGTTTCTCATTGCTTTATTTATTACAACTGATTGTTTTTATTTTTACTACTTTAGAAACGATTCGATACAGATTTCAAAACTTTACCGAAGAGGAATTTGAAACCATGAATAAGGCAATTCAACATGCGAAAACAAAATATGAAAGGTCCAAAAAATCAATTAAATGTAAGTTTGCTTTTCCTTCTACATACATTTAATGTTATACCTTCCTTTTGTATTTTTGAATAAGAAATATAAAATAATGTTTATACTGTACCCTATATATTTTGTATTATTTCAGACATTCGACTTTAAGATTTTTTTTAAAAATTCGACTCGGAGGTCAGAGTCGAGTAATTCCTTATTTAATGAACAGCCGAAAAGATCAGTATAAGTTCTCAGTACTTGACAGTATTTTTGATATTTTTGAAAGAAGTGATAAATTTCTAATTTTTATTTGTTTTTTTTTTCAATTTGTTTGACAAATTCGACTTTCTTGGTAGGGATATATTTACCGAGCATTTTTAATTTTTCTAAGTCAATGGATATACAGATATACCTGCATATTTTTATAAATATATTGTTTATGTTGTTCGTCAATACAATATTAGTAAAAGTATTTTATACCTATCTGAAAGTCTACAATTTAATACCCATTATAATGTTTCTGTTGATTATAACCTTATTACTGATGTATTATTGTTAACATAAAATTGCAAATGTTCGCAAGAAAAAACTGTTTCATTAATAGATAAGTACCTAAATATTAAAAAATAATTTTTATATTTTTCCTCTGATGAACGAAATGGTTTTTTAATGCAAATATTATCTATTTTTTGCTATATTATTTTAGCAATAAGTCAGTTAATTATAATTAATAATATAATTTTAGCAATATTGTTAATTTTATGTCAATACAATAATACATCCCAAATTAGTACTTTCTTGAACGTTACATTAGCAACGTTTCAATAATAATGTGAAATGCAACCTTGCACTGCAATGTTATTTGGCGGAAGATAAAGCTACCCTGAAACTTTGCATAAACCTCCCTACAATGAAAAAAGCAATGTTACACCTTGCTTTGCGAAGTTTTGGCAATGTTCCAGCAATAAATTTTGCTTGTTGGGATATAGCCCTTTGTTAATGGCCTATCACTGTCTAGTACAAAGAACCTCACATTTTCCAGGCATGTGTTCTGTCGTTTCTTCTTCAGATTAGCAAAATCTGCACATGCTTCGTCCATCAATATAATTAAAATTTAATTTTTGTGATCTATTGTGTAGAAAATTAAAATTACCATGGACTTATGCAAGGCTTCTATTACCGTCAAGAAATTTCAGGTAGATGTACCTGCAGCACAACTTTTTTTAAAGTTCTCAAGTAAAATATAAAACTTTCTAAAATTTGTTTACAAAAAACTTAGGTTGTTTGTGTATAGGGCACCCTCTATATAAAAATTGAATTAAAAACTAAAAAGTTAATTTAATGTTCTGTTTATTTCCTGGTAAACATTCACTAAAATTGAGCTTTTATTTTTCTATAATTTGTTAAAAATAGAGGACGTGAATCATACCAGTATATAATTTCGTGTTTTAATCTTAAATTCGGTTAAACAATTTTAGGAAGTGAAAACTAAATAAGATTAGATAACTAGATAAAGAGTTGATAAGGGTCACACTTCTGTTTCAATTTATTATGAATTGAATAATATACCTATAATAAATTTCATATACTAATAATTAAAGTTATCAGATAAGGCTTAAAAATTACCTTTATAGCTGAATTAAAAAGTGCAAAATAATATACTTATTTTTAATTAATATACAGGGTGAGTTTTAAATAAATGCAAACATTTTCAAGGGATAGTAGATCTCGATAAAATATATTTTCTCTTTGTTGTTTTTCAAAAAATAGCCCGGTTATTTTACTTGGAAAATAAAATATTTTTGTCTAATTGAAAACCTTTTTTTTCTGTTTTTTTACTTCCTGTAAATACACTCTACTACATACATGGGCATATTATCAAGATATTATGTATTTTAAAAATATAAGATTACTCTAATTTTTTCTTAGAAAGATAACAAAATTTGAAAAGTTTGTTGAAGAAAAAAAAATTCTTAGAAAAAATGTTCTTTCTTTCTTCTTTTTAAATTTTTCCTGAAAAAATCTTCATAGGCGTGTTTCTAGTGTCGAAATATACCACCCCTAAAAATATTTGCACTTATTTAATACTCACCCTGTATATGTGTAACTAGTATTCTTTAAAAGTATTTGAATAAAACACCAGTTTGATTTCTAAAGTTGTATTTTTCAAAATAAGAAGAAAAAATATAAAATTGTAACATAGGAGTGAAATAATATGTTTTATAGTAACTTTCTAACCTAAGAACTGAACGAAAAAATACAGTTATGAACACAATAAAAAAATTAAAAAATATAAAACATTCTTATTGTAAGGATTTAGATTTTTTCATGTCTGAAATGTTCTGAAAATAATATACTAAACGCACCATACAAGCATCGAATTTAGACTTGAATGCTTTGTTACCGATTTTGTTCAAATCTATCTGCAATCGAATAAGCTCTTGGTCGACCTGATCAATTTGCTCGATGCTCAAATCGCCAGTTATATGGTGTCCCAAAATATTAAGTTCATTCTCTATTTGGGTTAACTTATATTCGTCCCCTGTCCGTTTCTCTATACTGCTGGATATGGCTTCAATTTTTTCGAAAAGGACTTGCTTTTTCATGAATTCCGCGGATCCTTTCGGGTAGATCATAGAATTGAGTTGGGTAGTGTATCTGTTCAACAAATCGTCCATTTCTTCTAACTTTGCATCTTCGTGTGGATTTAGATACGATGATTCTAATCTGTTTAGTTCTGTTTCGATTTTAGACAAACGATTCTGGCCTTTTTCTAACGTCGGAGGATTGCTATTGGGTAGTTTGGGTGGTACGAGAGTCTCAGTTATATCTCGCATTTTCTCACCGGCAAAATGAGCACCCTGCTTTGCTTTCTTCACGACATATGAATAAGGCTTGCTGGCATACCCTCCGATTGTCGTCACGTAGTCGATGGAAGATGCAGAACTAGAACTAGTTCTTGGAAAATAATCTATCTTCGAACTTTCCAATGATGCAAGAGTTTTAGATAGCGATTTATATTCATGCACACATTTGTTAAGTCTCTCCGACAATTCATTATCCACCTTTAAGGTTTTTAGTTTAATTTTTATATTTTTCAAATATTTTTTGATTGTTTCGATGTTCTTCTTGTCGTTGGGTATGACTTGAGTTATTTCTTCGGATATTTTCTTTAATAAGTCTTCGATTTCAACAAGTTCTTCGGTTTGTTGAGCTTTGTTGTCGAGTATTTCGCCAAACTTATGCAGTTCTGCAAGCAATTTAACTTTTCTTTTTCGTAATTCGATATTTTCTACTTCTAGTTTGTCCAGAACCAAAACCAATCTCATCGTCGTCTCGTCAAGTTCATAAAACTTAGCGTCAGACTGCACTCCTACGAATCTTGCAACTTCTGGTCTTAAAGCTTCCACCTTTTTTTCAATTTCTGCTATTTTCTTTTCGGCTTCATCCAATGATTTATTCTTTTGCTCTTCGTTTTCAATTTCCTTCAGACGCTGAGTCAGTTCCTCTGTTTTTTGTTGTACACTGGTTTTTCTTGTATTGAAATTAGAGCTGGTCAAATTAAAATTGTGGTTGGCGAGTTTGTTTTGGATAGCCTGAAGTTCCTTAGCCATGGCCTTCATATCCTGTTCCTTGTTGGTTCTTAAAAGAGATTCTAGGTTATCCACTTTCTTCTCTAAATTTATAACATCATCAGCTGCTTTTGCTTCTTTTTCCAATGCACTTGTGTAGTATTGCATTTCGTCTGTTAGTCTTAACTTTCTCATATAAAGATCCGTATTTTTTATTAGCCGATACGTTTCAAGTTCATCTTTTAGTTTCTTAATGTCTTGAACTAATTTGTAATACTTAAGAACGTCCTCGTCCGAATTAGGAATCCTAATTTCGTTTTTAATCGCTTGAAATTTCTTTTCGAATTTTTCCATTTCTTTATTGATATCATTTTTCGGATAACTCACATTATCAACTGACAGTTCTCTGTCTGGCCATTGAGTGACGGGTTGCTGGCCCAGCGTAATCTTAGCATCGACCACAACTTTTAACGTCGAGACCTCGTTACTCAAAATTTCCTTTTCCTTTTCCACATGCTCATTGGCTTTGTTCGGAATCTGGCCCAGTTCTAAACTAACCAATTCCAATCTGCTGTGTAACCTGATAAAATTAAGTATATTATCATCTGGCGTTCGGTCAAGGTCATTTTTAATATGCATTAGATCTGTCTTGATTTTATTCAAGCCGACTTGATCTTCGTTCAAGGCACCGTCGACCTTAGAGGTCCTAAAACTTTGAGCCAAAGAGGATCTCTGCTCCAGGATCTTGAGCAGTCGTTCGATATCGTTTTTGATCTGATCCGTTGTGCTATTGTCTTCAACGGTATCGCCAATGGTCAGCAGTAGCTTGTTAAGGTCTCTCTCGATACTGTTGTATAGCACTCCTCTATAAGTCCCCGAAAATCGTTTAACTTTGTCATTTAATTCTTGCAGTTTGTCTTTGATTTCTTTCACTTCCAGTTCATTCTGCTGTTGGTAAAATGCAGGTCTGTGATCTAAAGCCTGGACAGAGTGGGATAATTCTTCAAGAAGCTGGTCTTTTTCTTGAACGAGATACTGGTAGTGATCGGGAATATTTAAAGTTTTTATTGAATTGTTCAGTTCTTCAATTTCCCCTTTTATGTCGTCAAACCCTTTTTCGTATTTACTACCGCTAAATTCCCTAGACTTTTTCGTAGTCTCATCAACACGTTCCTTAAACTCCATTAGCTGTAACGTATAAAGCAGTTCCATGATTTCTTTGTAGACGACATTAGCGTTATTGGCTAGACCTTTATTCGAGTCTGTTGAGTAATCTTTCATGCTCTTGAGATACTCTTCTAATTTTCGGCGCAATGCATGTCGATTCTGAGTGTCATCCAGTTTTTCTTTGATATAATAGACGTTTCTTCGTACCTCTTCAATTTTAGAGAACCTGCTTGTCTCTACTGGTTTACCAATTTGTACTAGTTCTGGAGTTGAAGCGTTTAACATTCTCACCTTGGTTTTGATGATTCTATTTTCTGAACTATCGGTGCTAGAACGATACGTATCTAGTTTAGGAACAGACTGCGATTTGGTAAATAGCTTCGTAGGGGGATAAGTCTCACATTTGTTCGCTATCCCTAATCGCATGCTGTGAATAGACGCCTGCATTTCATCCAGAACCTCATCAATTCTCAACAAGGATAATCGGGAATAGTCATTTAAATCGAAGTTATTTCTTATATTGCTCCAGTAATTTATGAACTGGTCGATGACGGTGTATTCTTTATCGCTGCTCTTGAGTTTTTTTCTAAGCACAACGTTTTCCTCGACAATCTGTTGTATTGTTTTGCTGTCATCGCTTTTCTTGCTAAGCTGGTCGATAGTTGAGATGTGGCCGGCAATCCTGGATAAAAGTTCCCGTTTCTTTCTTCTGGAAGATTCGTTGATTTCAGTGATGTTGTTCACAGATTCTTGTAATGTATCTAAAGACTTCCTGGTTTCCTCTGTATTGGTGTCGAGGTTGAAATTTTTCACGATCCTTTCTAATGTTTCTACAGCTTTTGATAATTTCGATTCGAATTCTCGCTTGCTCATAATATTGTCTAGAGTTTTAAGAGTTTCCGATGCTTTTTGGTACAGAGCACGGTACTTTTCCTTCACTTCGTCGTCAACTATATATACTTTGGTAAGTTTTTCGTTGGCTTTCGCCACGTTATTTCGAACAGATGCAAAATTCGATGTAGTTTTATCTTTAATCATCTTGTCCAAGAGCGATTCGCTTTCGGCAAGTTGCAATTCAATATTGTTTAGTTCCTGAATCGATTTAGCTTTGACTTCCTGTTTGGTTAAGTTTTGCGAATTATTGTTTTTTCCAGCTTCGTTCAGTGCTTTGTTCACTTTACCAAAAAGTCGAGTAATGTTCTTGGAAATAGCGTCCTTTCGCTGCTTTAAAGGCGTATCGTCTTCGACGTGAAATGATTCCATGTCAGATGCCATAATTTTCAACGTCTTTTCGTACATTCGGAGTTGTTTAGAATCCATGTTGTTAATTGCAGTTTTGATTTCATTTTTCAAGTCGATTAGCTTCGCTTCGATTTCTCGGATACTAGGCGCGCTGCTGTTGTTAATGTTTTGGGTTCTTCTTGGAGACAGGGACTTCAATGAACCTGTGGACTGTCTATTTCTGCGTGAAATGGGCACGTGAACAAAGGAATCGCTCTCAATAGCTGCGCTGTCTAAGTCGCTCGGTTCGATAACCAGAACTTCCTTCAAAGTATCAGATATTTCATTTAAGACTGTATCTATTTTATCCTGTTTAATTCCATGTAGTCGAGAAACGTGAGTGCTATTATCAGCCAGATGTTTTATTAATGATTCTTTCCTTTCTTTAGTTATATTTTGAGGTGAATTTCTAAGGCTTTGTCTTAGAGCCTTTGTGTTTTTGGAGATGTACTGCAAGTCATCTTTGGGTGTGGAGTGTACAGTTCCCATATTCTAGAATAAATAAAAACGCTGTACAGTTTTTTTCATTTTTAGATTCAAAAAAAGATTAAAATTAGGTGCAGAATAGTGATTTTTTATGAATCTAGTTGATAAAAAGGACTTTTTGCCAAAAATAATTTCCAAACAAAAATAAATTTCTTTAGGTGAACTTTAAAAATTTTCCAAAATTGGGATTTTTATATTCGTGATTTAAATTTAGATTTGTGATATTTTTTTTTGTTATAACTGAAGGAGGGACACAATAGATCTTTAAGGTCGCAGTGATTAACCCCCCTTCCATTCATTCTACTTCTACAACCCCAATAGTGGGGGACGAATTTGAATCACCCTGTACAGTAAAGCGAACTGAAGTGAGAATTTTTATTAATCTTGTAGTACGGATGACTGATTTATCGAATGATGTGGAATGATTGAGAGCAATGGATTTGCCAGTGTTTGCCATTTGTTCTCTTTATTTTTGTTTGCATTTCGATTCAAATAATTTCTATACAGAGTGGTCCGAACTGTATTCGGGAAACTTCGACAGCATATTCTGCAGATAAAAATAAGTAAAAAAAGTTCGTATAAATATATGTCCTAAAATACTTAGTTTCGAAGATACAGGGTGTAGAAGTTTCATTTTTATTTCGAGTTTTTTCAAATAATTTCTGAAGTAAGGTCAATTATTTGGATGAAAATTGGTGTCTGGGAATTTTTTGACATGAGAATTTGATTTTGATGTCAATATGTCTCCTATTTGTAGGGGGCGCCACCTACATATTTTTTAACTGTTTTGAAGAGTAATAACTTTTCGTCCGTACCTGTATAACACTACCGAGCGAAGAAATTTACATCTCCATGGCTACGTAAAATATGTCTCTTAGTAAAAATCGTTACGAACAACCGTTCTCGAGATATTTAGAATGGAAATAGTCAATACATGTCATTATTGACAAAAAATAAACACGTTGTGTAGATAGTTATTTGACTGGAATATTAAATTTGGGAAATGTTTATTTTTTTAATCATAAATTTTTATGCGAAAAAAATGATGATAAAACAGTTTCCGTTGCACTTTTGGCACAAAAACATTTCAAATTTATAATTTCAATCTAATAACTATTTAGTCAACATGTTTAATTTATGTCAGTGATGACAGGCATTGATAATTTTGATTCCAAATATCTCGAGAACCATTACTTGTAGCGATTTTAACAAGAGACATTTTTTTACGTAAAAAACGTCGTAAATGTATATTTTTTACTCCGTGGTTTTATACAGGTACGGACGAAAAGTTATTACTCTTCAAAACAGTTAAAAAATATGTAGGTGGCGCCCTCTCTAAGTAGGAATCAAAAAACTCCCAGACACCAATTTTCATCCAAATATGGACTACACTCTACATCTATCAACTACACTCTGTATCCCCGAAACTATGCATTTTAGGACATACATTTAAACGAAATTTTTTACTTATATTTATTATTATTTTACTTCTTTACTATACCCTGTATATTTCTTATATTATACAGGGTGTTTATTAATGACATGCTAATATTTAAGAAGGTGATTCTTGGACCTATTCTAAGGAAAAAACTTCATATAAATATATGTCCTAAACATCTTAACTTTTCAGATACAGGGTGGTAAATTTTTCTAATTTTTTTCAAAATATCTCGGATCTTATATTTGATACACGTCTTCGATGCATCAAAATCCTTATTTTGATATACGATAAAAATTGTTTTATTTCTTACTTTTTTCATCAGATTTTCAGCGATTTGGCCCTGAAATAAACTGACTTTAATTTTGTTAAGCAAAAACTATGCGTCGGACATAAGAAATCAACAGATAAAAAACGTTTAGAAATGAATGGAGACTTTGAAAATAATTTTTTCAAAAAATTTTTTTGCCAAAAAATATTCAATGTAAAACCCGTATGGATGGCACTGGTTGAAGTAAGTAAAATTCTTTGTACACCAAAAAAGATATTTTGATGCATAGAAGACGTGTATCAAGTTTCATAAAGATATCTGTAATAATATCAGAGTTATTATGAAAATAAGTTTTTTTTAGAAAATTTTAGCACCCTGTATCTCAGAAGTTAAGATGTTTAGGACATACATTCATATGAAGTTTTTTTTTTCTTCAAATAGGTCCAAGAATTACCCCCTTAAATATTAGTATGTCATTAAGGAACACCCTGTATACAGGGTGGTCCAAACTGTATTCCGGAGACTTTGGCAGTATATCCTGGAGACAAAAATAAGTAAAAAAGTTCGTATAAATGTTTGTCCAAAAATGCTTAGTTTCGGAGATACAGGGTGTAAAAGTTTAATTTTTATTTCGATTTTTTTCTAAATAATTATAAGTAACGTCAATATTTGGATTAAAATTACTCTTTTTATATCGAGTAAAAATGACTTTTAAATGTTGTAAATTATGGTATAAATTCGAGAAAAAATATTTTTTTGGAAATAGATTTGTGTGTCTAGAAACGGATATATCCAATGTCACTTATTAGTCAATGACGTCTAGAGATTGGCCTCGCCAAAATTATTATCGATTGTCATTCCTAGCAGCATTTGACGCCGTTTTTTTTCGATCATGCGGTGTATAGTTTTTTTTTATTTTATAATTTTATTAACTATTAAATAAATTAACATAAAAAAGCCTAAAAATATTTATTAAAATCTTATCAACGGATGATTACTTACTTACTTCGATCATCTTAGATTAACTCATTCTATACTTTAATAATAATTCATACTAGTAATTGATCAAGGAGGAGTAGTATTTAATTCTTTTATTAGAACATCGCGTCACAAAAAAAAGTTAAATCATCAATTGAACAGTTTAATTGTTATACTTCGAAATGACGTAGAATTTTAAATACACAAACACATACAACACTTAAAAATAATACTGTAGTACTCTTCTTCTTCTTCTTCTTCTTCTTTTAGAAGGCGTATTGCCTGTTTAGTTCCGGTTTCCTCCTCGTCTAAGCAACTCTTGCGAGGTTGTTGCGAATTATTATGGCCATTCTGTCGGGGCCCATTCTATTGACATGCTGGTTCCATTCTCTACTTCTATGCCTTATCCATCTGACAACGTCGTTTGTTTGGTACTTTTCTCTTATGTCTACATTTATCTGTCTGTCCCTCAATGTGTATCCAGTTATCATTCTTAAGGTCTTCATTTCAGTAGTTCGTAGGATTCTCTTTGTTACTGATGTTTCAGCTCTGGTTTCCGCACCATATGTCATCACTGGTCGTATGCAGGTTTTGTATATTCTTGACTTACATTCTGTACTCAAATGTTTGTTTTTCCATATGGGATATTTAAGATGTCCTGATATTGCGGCAGCTTTATTGGCTTGTTTCGTTACTTCTTCTTCCAGGAATCCTGAGCTTGTAATTTTGCATCCGAGGTATTCGAATGACATTATCTGATCAATAGTTTTGTTTTTTATTACCAATTTGCACCTTAGAGGCTCCTTTGTAATGGTCATGCAATCGGTCTTATTTGTGGAAATTTGCATGTTAAGTTTTTCTGCCTGTCTGTTAAAAGCTTGTAGCATTCTTTGGAGGTCGTCCTCTGACTCTGCAATAAGTACTGCATCATCGGCATAGCATAATATGTTTACTTTATGCATTCCCATTCGATATCCTAATCCAGTATTTTTGACGGTTTTTATTAATTGATCCATGATTGTGTCGAATAACAGAGGGCTGAGACTGTCGCCTTGGCGAATACCAGTTGTAGTTCGAAGATGCTACGTTAAGGTAAAGTTTGTTATTATTTGGGTTGTTGTGTTTGAGTTTAAGTCCTTGATAAGTTCTGTGAGTTCTTTCGAGACATTACTGCTTTCCAAGATGGTGATGATGTCTTTTAGTTGGACTCTATCAAAGGCCTTTGTTAAATCTATAAAACATAGATAGGCTGGAGAGTTATATTCTAAGGATTTTTCAACTAGTTGCCTGAGTATGAATAGTGCATCGGTAGTTGATCGGTTTCTTCGGAATCCTTGTTGTTCCTCGCTTATTGGCACTATTGAGGAGATTTTGTCCGCAATGATCTTAGTCAGAAGTTTTAGCGAGGTGCTCAGTAATGTTATTCCTCTATAGTTTGCTGGGTCTGTTTTATCTCCCTTTTTAAAAATGGGTATTGTTATACTTTGTTTCCATTCTTCTGGTATTTTCTTATGATGTAATATAATGTTAAACAGTTTTGTGTATTCCTCTATGATAGCCGTGCCTGCGTTTTTTATTAGCTCCCTTGGTATTTTATCTTGATTAGGAGATTTTCTATTTTTAAGTTTCCTTATTTTTAAGTCTCTTCTACTTGCTTGTAAGTGATTTGCGCATGATCTTCTATATTATCTCTTTGGCTTGTCTCTTGTGCTTCCATTGGTTCATCTGTTTCTGCGTATGTCTCTGAAATATTTTTCCCACGTATGTATCTTCTGCAATTGTTCTTAGTTGTATTGTTTCATTTGTTTCTCGTTTCAAACCCCTCAACATCTTCCAAATACGTTTTTGTGCTCCGTACATATCCGCCTCCATTTCGCTACTAAATCGCTGCCAATATTCTTCTTTAATTTCTCGTACTCTATTATTAGTTCTATAAAATTAATACTGTAGTACATAAGTAATAAGTTGGAAACTTTCTTCATATTTTAAAAAACATTTTTTGTAAGTACTTTTAATTTATTTATCTTGAAAACGCAATAAAAAATCAACGAAAGAACCATTTTTAACACGTATTTTGATAAATAGTTTTATTATGTCAGAGATATAGAGGTGTCCCACCTACGTTTTTAGATAATAATATGTTCCTTTCTTAATCGTTTTATTCAAAGATAGGGGCTGCGCCAACAGAAACTATTATCTATTGTTATTTGAAAGGCCACTGTAACGCTCTTTTTAAGTCTAGGTCAAATGTTTCTTTATTTTGCTGTATTGATAATCCCGAAATTGCAGAGTGTCAAAAAATTCCAGCGTCGTAACCCGTATTTTAATATCCTTGGTCGTTGCCAGTGGCGGATACAGAGGGGGGCCATGCCCCCCCTAAAATCTATAAATTGGGTTAAATATTAGGCTTCTGGGTTAAAAATGGCGCACTAAAAAACATATTCTACATTTACTCTACTTTTTATTTGGGCTCCCCCTAAAATATTCTAATTTCTGTATTCACCCCTAGTCGTTGCCTAAATACGCACGTGTCGCTTCCTCTCATCATTTAACTACCTGACTTGTGAGTCTGGCGGGGCTTTCGTGATTGTAAATTATAGCCAGACGTGTATTTTCTATGAAATATATGACAAAAATTTTCTGTGACAAATTTTCAAATTCGGGAAAATATGAGCAAAAATTTTGTAATTTTTGCAATTTTCAAGATGCGGATGCCGCCAGACTCATGTGCCAATTTCGTAAATCAGCCAAACTTGCTTTTGATTATACTTCAAAATAGTATCAAATGATACTATATACCGGGTGTTACATCGTCGAACGGGACATAGGAAATCCCATGTAAATTTTAATGGGGTCAATTATTGGCTTCCCTAATTATTTTAGAGAATAATTATATTTAGGTTTATTGAAGAGCACTAAAACCCACACTCAAAAGAATAACTTTAGATATTTTTGATTAGCTCGTTTACGAGTTATCGCCGACTTCTTTTTAAATATTTCTCCTTTCTTATGGCCCTGTATTTACTTATGAGCACCAGTCAAGGTAAAAGATAACTGTCAAATGAAGTTGTCATTTCAGAAATTTACGTATTTAGTGCTTTATTATTATTGAAAACTCATTTCCTACATCGAAAATCTTAAAGATGTATTTATAAATACAAATTAATATGAATTAAAGTAAAATAAAGTAATCAATTACAAGGTTAATTATAGTATTATTACAATATTCAATAACATATTAATTTAGGTACTATTAAATTGTTAAAACTTTAACTAAAACTTAAGAGAAAAAAGTCAGTGGCGCAAATGTTTTATTTTAAATATTCTAGTGATAACCCATATGCACGTCCCTGATGAACTTATTGACACTTATTTAGCATTAAAATATGTAACACTTATAGTAACTTTTACCTCCAAAATTTCATTCAAATCACTAAAAGTACTTGGAAACAAAGCAGAATCGGACCTATACTGATATGAAAAATAAGTCTTATTTTTACGTGAGGAATCTCCCAAGAGATGGCACATGTTTTTTGAAACACCCTGTATAGGGCGAGTCTTAAATAAGTGCAAATATTTTAGGGGTAGTATATTTCGACCCCAGAAAGACGATTATAAGGGTTTTTTCTCTGAAATAAATATTTGGAATTTTTCGAAAAAAATTTTGAAAATTTGAGCGACATTTTGTTTTTTTTTGTTTTTAGTTAAAAATCATAATTTCTTGATAATATGGCAACACAGGTAGTAGATTCAATTTACAAGAAGAAAAACCAGTAAGTAGTTCTCAAAATATAAACAAAAAATCATTTTTTTGGAATTTTTTAGTAAAAAAAAATAACTCAGTTATTTTGGACTTATTTGAAATACGCCAAAGAGAAAATACGTTTCTTTTATAGAAAATATTTGCACTTATTTAAGACCCACCCTGTATATTTTGCCCACTAGGAGAGAGAAAATAAGTACAAAAAAAATCAAACTCCTGCACTATAGTATCACTAATTTTATTTTATTTATTCGATTTTATGTCCCTTTAACGACTCGACTAAAAAGCAAAGCATGATGAAAGCCCGAAAATATTTATTATTGTTTAAAATCTTATCAATATTTACTTACTTGAAGCATCTCAGATTAACTTATCTGATACCCTCACTATTTTACACACTTAACCGCTAAACGATCAGTTAGATCTTTAATTATTTTTATTCGAGCTTCCAAGTCTAATAAATTAAATTTAAATCGCCAGAGGAACTGTATATTATTAATGTTATAATGAAAATACAAATAGACAACAACAAATAAAAACAGAACTGTACTATTTACTGATGCGATCACACCCAATAAATGCGCTATCAATATTTGCAGCTGATTATTTGAGTTTTTGTCAATAATAATCTTCTCCGGATACATAAACAAACAAGATGGGGTCAGCTAACCTGTGAAATAATACGATAAAATCGGTACTTACTCTGCAGATATTGCAATCGTGAGAATATCCTGGATATCCGTTTGCGGTTCACTACTACCCGACACCATGTTTGATAAAAATGATCTAGGTATTAAATGAGGAAAGCTACAACTGATAAGCGACGCCTTATTATATCGTTCAATGATAAACAATAAGTGCTGGCACGTATCGCACTAATAGCGTAGACGAAACAGTTATTTAAGCACCAGATTCAAAAGTAAATCGTTTAGCAACCTTATGACGTACCGAGGAACAACGTTCTTGTGTTTGCTTAGCACGGCACTTTTTTCTACAGACTGGTACAGTCTTGTGTGTTTGTTTTGGAATTGTCGTCTGATTAGACTGGACTTCGTGACTCAACACAGAAACGCCGTAATGTGTACAGGGATTCAGCATAAATAATGCCATGATAAATACTAGAGATGAGCAAGAAATCGCAAACTGCGATTCATTCGCAGCGATTTTAAGATCGCACTTGGGTGTTTCTCAAAAGTGGTTCACCCCTATATTTTTTTTTATTTTTTCTGATAAAAAAACGAGATTTAGTATGTTAGTATGACATAAATTAGTATTGATTGACGGTATTCAATTGTTTTTAGTCACTTCCTGCTTGACCAGAAATGACTACAACTTTCTTTTAGAATGACACCCTCAGTATTTTTTTACTTTATTCGATAGAAAATGACTCTGAACTGAAATAGAATGGTATATCATAAGGCAACTTTTGACATTTTCGCTTATAAAAAATCTTATTATAAATTTCAATCTAGAATGTCATGGCTGTGTTAAAAATACTAATTTTAATCAAGATGCCTTGGAAAAATAGACTTGATCGTCTGTTGTTTTTCGCGTGTGGTCCTGGCCACTTAAAAGATGCCCAAATCGTATCATATCTCAATATTTTCAAAATGGAACGAGGGTGGCTCATTGGCGTATTTAGAAAAAGCATGTTTTTACGAATAATTTGGTTTGGTAAATATTAACCCTCTCTGGCGTGGTGAATTTCTGTAACGCTTATGGCTTTAAAATACATGATAAAGAGATTTTATAAAAAGCTTGTTATTTTAAAACTGTTTACAATATATTCAAACTTGTGAACAAACAATTTCATTAATTTTCAACAAATTAATAAAAATAGACACAAAAATAAAGTAAAGCGCATTTTTTAGGATTTTTTGACCACAGAAATATAGCAAAATAAAAACACTAAATCACCAAAATACACCAAATCACTTTTACTTTTACACTGGACGCGTGTTTCGCTAACCATGTTAGCATCATCAGCAGATGATTATAAACTAAAGTACAATCTACAAGTTGAGCGTTTATATACTCGCCCAGTGGGCACCGAGTGGGCGTGGCAAAATCTAGCCAACCGAGTCAGAGCCAACTGAGCGTAACAGTTAGATTTCCGCCACTAGAGTAGTAGGAACAAAGAACTGAAGGAATTGGACCGTTGTCTCTGTTCATACTATCTTTACATTTATTAATTCTGATGCTTTCATATGCATCTAATTGCCTGTAATTTGAGACTTGTTTAATTAATTTTAAATTATTAAGATCTATACAATGTTCTTTATGAACAATATGTTCGGCAACGCAAGATTTATCCGGTTTACCATATCTTATCTGAGCTAAATGTTCTTTAAATCTAGTTAATATTGATTTTCTAGTTTGCCCAACATATTTCTGATTACAATCTTTACAAGAAATTTCATAAATACCCGACCTTTCCAGTGGAGGTGTTTTATCCTTTGGATTACCTAATAATTGTTGTAATTTATTATTAGCACTATACACAAGTTTATAATTGACATTCTTAAAATTACTTTTAGACCACGGATAACTCTCTATCAAACGGTATCGAAAAATATTTAGACGTATCTTTCTCCACTTGAAGATGCATCTAATTGTCTGTAATTTGAGACTTGTTTAATTAATTTTAAATTATTAAGATATATACAATGTTCTTTATCAACAATATGTTCGGCAACGCAAGATTTATCCGGTCTACCATATCTTATCTGAGCTAAATGTTCTTTAAATCTAGTTAATATTGATCTTCTAGTTTGCCCAACATATTTCTGATTACAATCTTTACAAGAAATTTCATAAATACCCGACCTTTCCAGTGGAGGTGTTTTATCCTTTGGATTACCTAATAATTGTTGTAATTTATTATTAGCACTATGCACAAGTTTATAATTGACATTCTTAAAAATTACTTTTAGACCACGGGATAACTCTCTATCAAACGGTATCGAAAAATATTTAGACGTATCTTTCTCCACTTGAAGATGCATCTAATTGCCTGTAATTTGAGACTTGTTTAATTAATTTTAAATTATTAAGATCTATACAATGTTCTTTATCAACAATATGTTCGGCAACGCAAGATTTATCCGGTCTACCATATCTTATCTGAGCTAAATGTTCTTTAAATCTAGTTAATATTGATCTTCTAGTTTGCCCAACATATTTCTGATTACAATCTTTACAAGAAATTTCATAAATACCCGACCTTTCCAGTGGAGGTGTTTTATCCTTTGGATTACCTAATAATTGTTGTAATTTATTATTAGCACTATGCACAAGTTTATAATTGACATTCTTAAAAATTACTTTTAGACCACGGGATAACTCTCTATCAAACGGTATCGAAAAATATTTAGACGTATCTTTCTCCACTTGAAGATGCATATGAAAGCATCAAAATTAATAAATGTAAAGATAGTATGAACAGAGACAACGGTCCAATTCCTTCAAGTTCTTTGTTCCTACTACTCTAGTGGCGGAAATCTAACTGTTACGCTCAGTTGGCTCTGACTCGGTTGGCTAGATTTTGCCACGCCCACTCGGTGCCCACTGGGCGAGTATATAAACGCTCAACTTGTAGATTGTACTTTAGTTTATAATCATCTGCTGATGATGCTAACATGGTTAGCGAAACGCGCGTCCAGTGTAAAAGTAAAAGTGATTTGGTGTATTGTGGTGATTTAGTGTTTTTATTTTGCTGTGTAACACCAAAGGTTCCAACCCTCAACTGTAACAGAAATATAACTTGGCTAAGAAACCTATAGAAATTAGAAACATATATATTTTATGATTTTACTGTATTATTAAAAGTACAAACAACTGAAATGTGAAGCTAAAGTAATAAACATAAATTATTTTCAACAAAACTGCAAACCTTGAATGTACATAACTTTTTCAAATACAGTTCATGATAATATAGGATCTGTATTTGCCGCACATGGATCGTGCCGTGCACACTTGATTCATGAGATTTTTCTATTTTTTGTCATTTCTTCATTGACATATATGGTTGCCATATCCACATCTCTTTCTTTTCTGGTATTGATTATTCAATTTTCTCTCTTCTATAAGTAAGAGATTCAGAATTGGAGTTATGGTTACTCTTCGGAGAAAAATCAATGTCTCGATGGTCTTCATCTCACTCAAGCCTCTTTAAGTTCATCAAACCACTCAATTAATGCTTCCTCAAAATTAGCGTCCCAGTGAGGCACACTAATTTAAAGGTAAATGGCGCGGCGAGACCTAATTCTTAAACGTAAACATTTTACAGAGGTTTAAATAGTGCTTGGCGTCCGCTGGACCCTACCATACCAGTTGAGGGTTAAACTCGCAATCGCAGTTTTGCTCATCTCTAATAAATACCTCAGATATAAATATATATCATAAGAATAATTATGATTAATGGAAAATTTCTTAAACTAGTAAAGAACTTTAAAACAATATAAGGTTTGTTCCAACACAGAAATTTACGCATGTGTCGACTTGGATTTTGGTTAGATATATTTTCGATATAAATTTCAAATTTTGTATTTTGATTCATTTACAAACGTAACCTAAAGTTTGTACCAGGATGTATTTCAGGAAAATACTTTTTTTTAACTTCTACAGGGTGACTCAAAAAAGGGCTCAACTTTCGTTTACCTGAAATCGGTATAAAAAATGACTTTATACTTTATACAGGGTTTGGTTTGGTTTTTTAATCGGACCTTTTAAAAAAAATATATTTTTCAGAAATTATTTGAGACAGAGATTACCAAAAATGCTTTTTATATCTACTAGTGGGTAAATGAATTTGTAGAAATATTAGCACTTTTCCTGGATCTTTAATTTCGGAGATATTAATTTAATCGGACCTTTTTAAGAAAATTAATTTTATTTTTCAGAAACTATTTGAGACAGAGTTTACCAAAAATGCTTTTTATATCTACTAGTGGGTAAATGAATTTGTAGAAATATTAGGACTTTTCCTGGATCTTTAATTTCGGAGATATTAATTTAATCGGACCTTTTTAAGAAAATTAATTTTATTTTTCAGAAAGAGTTTACCAAAAATGCTTTTTATATCTACTAGTGGGTAAATGAATTTGTCGATATATTACGACATTTCTTGGAACTTTAGTTTCGGAGATATTAATTTAATCGGACCTCTTTAAAAAAATTAATTTTATTTTTCAGAAACTATTTGAGACAGAGTTTACCAAAAATGCTTTTTATAACTACTAGTGGGTAAATAGAGGGTTGTTCACCACATACGACACGGAATATTGTAGCTAAACGATTAGATTTTTACAAACTGTAAGTTTTAGATTCGTTAAAGGACTATTAGAGCTACAATCTAAAAATATTTTTACAGATACAGAGTGTCCCAAATAAATAAAAAATATCAAAGTTGTATTTTTTTAAATAGAATACCCTGTATGTTATTACATTTTTAGTTTCTACGATTAAAATAAAGGTAAATTTGATTAAGGTTTATTACACTTAAACCTTACCGATTTTGAAATATTTTCAATCTTGCGAAATTGCAGTATAAATTTTAAGGCTTCATTTCTCCGAGGATATCAACGTTTTTAATACTAAATATTTACTGAAGTTTATTTATTGATCAGTTATTGTGTTGCAATAATAAAAATTATACTACCTTGTACAGAGTGTCTAAAAATTTATTTTAAAGAATTACTAGCTTTAAATGGCAATAACTTATTTAATTTAAATATAACACTCTGTATATTTTATGAGAATCAGATGCACAATTTAATTGTCTATCAAATTGTATTATACCACTTCTTACCTATTCCTTCAAGTTTTCGTAGAAAATGCATTTTCTTATAATTTAGACCTCATTTATCAATATATCCATGGAATATTGACATTTTAGATTGTTTTTAAAACAACAAATGTACAGGCTAGTAATATTATTGTTTTTAGTAAAACGATAATTTTACTAGCCCATTTGTATGCAAAAAGAAAGCTATTTAAATCTTTATAAAAGAGTATACC